ATGTTTTATAAAAAAAATAAAAAAAATTGTTCAAATAAATTTAAACTTAAAAAAAAATATTAAAAAAAATATGAAAACTATATCATGAATTTTTTAAATACCTATTTTGATGACATTAATATTATTATTTTTAAGAAATAATTAACATAGTTTATACAATTTGTAAAAAATAAAAATTTAAATTCTCCTTTATCGATATATAAAGCAATTCAAGAAAGATTAATATTTTTCTATAATTTTAAAAATATAATTCTTATTTTCTGTCAGTAAAGCAATCGTTTTATGTCTTTAAAAAAATTAAAAATTATATTAGGAATTCAATTGGATAAGAATGTTATTCAATAATATTTACATCGTTGATTTTAATTTTTTTGATAATTTCTCAGCTCAAAAAGCATGATAATGAACATATAATAAATTTTATTGTGTTTTAACTTTCATTGCAATTTTTTTAAATTTCTTATGTCTTATTAAAAATTGTTTTTTTCTAATTTTAAAAATTTTTTTACAATTATTTTTATTTGTTATATGAAATAATTGTAATAAATATAATAATTATATAAATAAATTCATAAATACATATTATTTTAATTTCTTTAATTAAATTTTATTTTTAATTTCTTCTTTAATTAATTTAGTTTATTATTTAATACAATAAAAATAAATATACTTTAATTACTTCAATTAAATTTATTATTCATAAATTTTTCTTCTATATTATATTTAATTGATCATAAATATTATATATGTAAATTGTATATAATATAATATATGTAATATACAAATTTTTCTTGTATATTTTTAATAAAATTTTATATAAAATTATTTTTTAGTTTTTCTTTCGTAAATTAATATTGAATCTAAAAGTATATCGGATTAATTACTCAAAAATTTCTTCCTAAGAAAAATGTTTGAATTTAAAACTTTACATGAAACTTCTAATTTCAAATTTAGCTAAAATCTTAATTATGCATTTAAAGATTATTATTATTATATATAAAATATTATTTATAAAATCATATATTTTTCTAAATAAATTGAATCTCTTTTGTAAATTTTTGTAAAGAAATATGAGAATAAAGTAGTAAAAAATAATAGGTATGGTTTTTTTTATATGATTATATGTATAAAATACATAAAAGATTACACATACATGATTAAGCATACATGTATTTAAAAATAAAAATAAAGTTATTTATAAATTTTGTAATTTTTTATTCAAAGTATAGATATAGTAATATGGTTTTTATTTTAAATATAATTATATATTTTTTATATAAATTAATTTTTTTAAATATTTTAAATATACAGAAGGATATTTATATCATATCTGAAATATGAAATTTTTTATTCAAAATTTAATTTATTCAAGATCTTTAAAAGAATTGATTTATACAATAAAACATAATCGATTCTATTTTTAAAAAATATTAATATGTTATAATATTACTTGATATGTCACTTTATATTAATATTATATTTTTTATATTATATTTATATAAAGAAAATTAAGTAAACAAATTTTGAGAATTATTTAATTATTTTTACAATTTTCATCTCATAAAAATGTTTTATCCATTGTATAATTTATTTATATTATTATTATATAATATATTTATTGTTTAATTTATTAATTAAATTTTTTTATCGAAAGATTGAATTCTTCTAAAGTACTCACATATATTCACACACATTTAATCATATTCCTATTGTCAATAAATATTTTAGTTAATAATAGTTCTTCAACTGATCATTAGTGATAAAGAGGACGCTCAAATCAGCTTTAATTCTCCTGATCGGTATGGCAGTTAAATATGAAACACGAAAGTTTTACTAACTTATTAACATATAATAGTCACGAATAAAGTATACATACAACTATATAATACAACTATAATACAATTATAAAACAGTAATAATATAATTTTACAATTTATTTATAAAACAATTATAATATAATTTTAATAATAAATTTCAAAAATAATCGATTATATGAATATGTTATATAAAAACATAGTAAATAATACATATAATTAATATATATAATTAAATAAATATATATAATTAATATAATTAATATATATATAAAGAAAAATTTTAGTGAAAGTATTGATTCAAATTAATAATAAAAAATTAATAAATTAATAAAATTAAATTAATAAAATATAATGTTTATTCTTTTATTTCTTTTATATATCTTTGTATAGAATATATCTCTATACATATATTTCTATATTCTCTCTTTCTCGTCTATATATATCTTAGTAAATGTACACATACTATTAGATTTCTGTTACAACAGATTAGTAAACAAATTGAAAATTGACTTTAATTAAATTAAATAAATAAAATAAATCTATTTAATAATATTTTTAAATCTACCTATTATTTAGAATAGATCTCTTTTTCAGCCATCGTAAGCAAATACCAATTCAAAAAACAAATCTATGCAATAGATTTAATTAATGTCAATTATATTATTTTATTTTGCGCATACTTTTATTAAATCAAATATAAAAAATATTTAATTAAAGTTTACATTTGATTAGTTGTAAATATATCTATTTTATAAATTAGTAACATATATATATATATATATTGATATGTATATATTGTATATATATATATATAATGTATATATGTACTAAAAGGATTAATTGAATAGAGTATATACTTTCTCTTACTTTAATAATTCAATATTTTTGAAGATATTATTTAATGATTTAATTTTACTTGATATTTTTTAACCTATTGTAACAAATATCTAATAAATATGTATATTTACTTATTTTATAATTATTATATTAATAATAAACATTTTTATACGTTTATTACGTTGATACTTTCAGTAAAATCTTCATGGATTTTTTTTGATACATTAATTCTAGACATTAAAACAAGCAAGTTACTTCATTTATTATATTATGAGCAATTTAAGTTTAATTAAATAAAACGAAGCATAAATTTAAATTGTATTTATAATTTAATAATCTCAATTAATTTTCATATATCAATTTCCATATTTTTTTTTTGTTTTCTAGAATCTCTGCTCTAAGATGTTCATTGTATGTTTTTAATTTTTTTTAAGTTTATTATTATCTTTGAACAAAATAAGAACAAATTCTTTTTCTTTTCTTTTCATATTTAACTTCTACAAAAGTTAAAATATTTATTAAATAATAAATAAATAACTAATTATTTTATTTGTAAATAATATACTTTTATTATATAAAAATTAGAAAGAAATTGTAATTTAACAATTATTTAACAATAAAATATTATCAAAAATTGAAAAAATATTATTACATACATATTATGAAATTTACTTTATAACTTATTAAATTTTATTTACAATTAATTTGAAAATTGAGTGAAAAATAAAAATATAGAAATCTGTTATTTTTTCATTTCTATAAAATGAACTCTGTGAGCAAAGATTTTAACAATTAAAATTAAAAATAAAGTTATTCAATAATTTATTATTCAAAGCATTGAATAACTATAGCACCAAATGGTCGAGATTATATAAATAATAGATAACTACAATAACTACGAATAAATGTTATTTAAGCATTTCAAATAATATTAAATAATATTACTTAAAATAATTTTATTTATTTTAAATTTTAATTAGTTACTTTTCAAAGGGTTAATGAGATTAATACATATATAAATTGAGATTCATTTTTTATTTTTTTGAATGAATTTTATAAAAGAAATTAATATTGTACATTGTATTTAGTAAAATGTAATTATATTTTTCCATATTTTTATAGATAAAATCTTAAAGAACTATAACATAAATGTTCATTGTATATAATTTTTTCATTTAATAACTTAGTATTCGTAGAAAAATTTATTATATAATGTAATATATTATATTTACAATTATAATCATTTTTCTTTAATATTTTTCTCAAGACATTTTTAAAAAAAATAGAATATTATTAATAGCATATTAGTCATAATTACATTTCGATGGAATCATAACAATTTCATAATGTTATTCTAATGTTAAATAATTAAATGATTGTAATCATCGATTCAGGATCTAGTAAGAATAAATGAAGATAAAATATCATTACATTTCGATATATTTATATCTTTAATAATTGCAATAATTGCATGTTATATCGCAACATTATATAGAATATCAATTAAATTGATCCTGACTGAATAATTAAAGCTTAAATCTTATGAAAATTGTATCAAATAGAATTTAAATGACTTTGAGTGACATCTCATATATCCTTTTTTGTAGATGGAAACATTTTAAGATTAATTGATTTCATCCTTGATTTTTTTAAATAGAAAGATCTGTTTTTTGTATTAATTTTGTAAATAAAATATCAAATTTTGAGATAAATTAATATTGTAAATAAATAAGAATAAAAATGAATTAATATGTTTCATATGTTTCATTTTAAAGTTAATTTAATAGTTTATGAAATATAAACGAAATTATTTTTAATATGTACTTATTATTTAGAAATTAAAATAGATGTTCGAATTAATGTCTCTTAATTTTAGTACGATATATATTTTATCAAAATTTTCACGATTTCAAAAATTTTTATAATAAATAGACAGAATGATTTTTTTTTCAAAATGTTTTATTTACGGATGAAATATTAATACGATATTAATTACGAGGATATTATTTAATAATAATTTAAAAAACATATGTTACATTAATTACAAAATAATTTTTATTACATTTAGAAGCCATTTAAATTTCATATCTTACAATTTTCATAAAATATATAATTTAATAGTTATTTGATCAAGTTCAAGCTAGACATCTTATATTAGAAATGTAATTTTCATAAAAATTGTTTATTTATAAAAATTTTATATTAATACATTTTATATTAACAGATATAATAATAAAAGTATAGTTATTATTTTCTTTTATTATTTTATTTTATTTATATAACAATAACACAGCTAGCATTTTTTATATTCTTTAGAATATTATTTCTTTACTATATCATAAAATAATTGAAAACATAATACTTATTTATTTCTTAAGTGTTTATTCGAATATTTATAAAAGATATCTGAAACTACATAAATAATTTTCTTAAGGTATAATTGTAAACAAAAATTGTTTTGAATTATCGAGCTTGAAAAATCCCAATATAATGTAATTTGATAAATCAAAAAAATAATATATTATTGTAAAATAACTTATTATAGATATTAAAATTTTTACGTATAATTTAAAAATAATTTAAATAAAAATACTTTATTAAATTTGTATTATTTTATTAAATTTAAATTTATATTATAAATTAAGTAATATTTAGAAGAAATTTTTTTATCTGTTTTAAATAATCAAATAAATAATAATATTTAAATCAATAAATTATGCAACATGCCGGATATTTGTTATGTGTGTGTGTGTGTGTGTGTGTGTGTGTGTGTGTGTGTGTGTGTGTGTGTGTGTGTGTGTGTGTGTGTGTGTGTGTGTTGTTATTATTATTATTAT